AATACGCCATTCTTTCAGGTTCTTAACTGCCGACATATTTGTGATGCTGTTCTCAGCTTTCGTTCCTCCCCATCTGGAATACTGCGTCCAGGTTTGCCCGCCCTGCCTTGTTCGGAACAAAACGGAGTTCCCGAAGGTTTTGAGAGTAGGTACCAAGTTGGTCGAGGGGTTACTGGGGCAATCATACCCCGAGCGTCCACTTAGCTTGGGTATGTATTCAATGCAATACCGACGGCTTCGAGGAGACCTAATCCTTACTTACCGCATTTTAACGAAAGGTTGGACCAAACTTGAGCTGGCTATTTAATCCGGCTAGGTTGCCTTGTCTTCGCGGTCATTCCATGAAGCTACACATACCGCGTTCTGACGGGATCAGGGCGGAAGCTCGGTTATCTCGTAAAGTTATCGAGCGCTGGAACTGGTTTCCAGAAAGTGTAGTCAGTAAACCTACGGTTAACGGTTTCGAGCGTCACTTAGACGCTCTTGGTTGGCAGCACGAAATCTTCCTTCTCCTTACCATCCCCATCTTCCAAGTTTGAGTTCATATTCTCTCATTCTCCTCACTCTTTGGTGTTATCCTTCATTTAAATGACTTCCCTCCCTCTTTATCTTCCACTTTCTACGTCTTCCTTACTTCACCTGACCTACACAGTGGGGACTGCTATTGCAGGGAACGTGGGCCGTAATTGGTTGACCAGGGTGTGTTTCGAGTGTTTCCTTTTATACCCGTCAAGATCTCCTAGCATCTTATCATTTCCTGGCTCAACGATCCTCACAAGAAGGAACACTTAAGGCATTTTCCTGTCGTTCCAGTCCCATCTAAATCTATCTCCAGTGTCTATGGACACTGCTTTATGGTTTGCGATCTTAGAAGCAGCATTTGCCAATAAATGTACCACACGTGACTTATATGTTAAACAGTCTGTTATCTCATCTCCCCTTGGGTCTCACCGTCTAACTTGACGATCTAATTGTGACAGTTGATCCGATTAATCGTTACAACGCCCTGAAAGATGCCGTAATAAAACGGTGCAAACCTCCAGACAGAGCTCGTCTGCATCAACTTTTCCGGTTTGCAGTTAGGGAGCAAGGAACCGTCACCACCGTTACTGGAGATGCGCGGCCTCCTAAGAGCTCTAAGCGTGGACGAATCTGCTTCAAAAACTGATTGCAACGTTTACCTGAGCACGTGCAAGTTGTCTTCTGTCTCGCTAAATCTAAACCGTTGTCAGAAATCGCCGAAATTTCAGACAGCGTACTGGAACGTTACATTGAACCACTGCGCTTCGTCTAGCATCGTCCGACCAGCTGATGCGCCTCACTGGGTACGGACCGTCGCTCCATTAAACAACGCAAACAACCTGCCTTTAACGCAGGTCCTTGTGGACGAAATTGCCACACTGAAACGTGAAGTTCAACATTTAAGCCTGCACCAGCAGCAGCGTAGAGACTCACACCGTTCGCGTAGTCGCGCTCGTAGTACCATACGACGCTCTATATGCCGTTATCATGCGCGTTTCGGTAGCGCTGCTAGAAATTGCATCAAACCTTGCAATTTTGCATCGACCAAGAAGAAGCAGGCTGAACAAAGCCTTGACAGACGACATCAGATTCACAGTCTGATAAAGACCAAATACAAAGATCAATCGATGCCCACCAACGGTGGTTTGGAACAAACTGACCCACAAATACTGGCGACTGACGTCACTACACAAAATACCCCAAGTCGTCTATTCAAGATAGCCGATAGAATCTCAGGGATCATGTTCCTAGTGGACACTGGGGCGAAGTCAGCGTGATTCCACCAGGCCCAAACGAATCGACTAAGCGGCGGGTAGCAAACCTACGTGCCGCCAACGGGACGCCCATAGCAATTTTTGGCCAGCGTTCCCTAACCATCGATCTTGGCCTTCGACGCAAATTCCGTTGGATTTTTACAGTAGCTGCTGTACCGTTTGCCATCCTCGGAATCGATTTCCTGCATCATTTCGATCTAATGGTCGATACTCGTCAGCGAAAGCTAATTGACAAACAAACACGACTTTTCATTTGCGGAATCGAAACGTCATCCGAAACCATCACTCCCATTTATCCCCAGTCATAAACTGACAAAGAATTTCTGGAACTGTTCGCGCAGTTCCCACAGCTGGTTCGCCCTTCTAACGCCATTCTTCCCGTAGCAACTGAAGTAACGTACCACATACGAACCTATAGGCCAACTGTCTCCGCTCGACCACAATGCCTTATCCCTGATAGATTGAAGGTGGCGAAAGCGGAATTCGAGCATATGATCGAACTTGGCATTATCCGCCCATCCGAAAGTCAGTGGGCTTCACCTCTTCACATGGGGCCGAAGGAGACTAGCGACCGTATGGCGATTATTTGGCACTGAACAAGTGTACCTACCTCGACAAGTACCCTGTTCTGCACATTCATGATCTCACTAGCAGCTTAAACGGTAAGTCCGTGTTTAGTAAAATCGACCCAACAAAAGCATACCATCAGATCCTCGTTGAAGAATGCGATATCCCCAAAACCGCCGTCATTACACCTCTTGGTCTATTCGAGTTTCTGCGGCCTGAGAAGTGCCGCACAAGCCTTCCAAAGGTTCATACTTGACGTTACACGCTGCTTAGATTTCGTATATCCTTATCTGGACGACATTTTGGTAGCAAACACCTCCAAGACAGAACATCTGGAACACCTGCAACTGCCGTTTCGTCTTCTGTGCGACCGTGGAGTTACGATTAACCTCTCTAAGTGCGAGTTGGGTAGACCGTCGGTTGATTGTTTGGGTCATCGGATCTCTGCATCCGGTATCGAGGCCCTTCCCGAAGAAGTTGATACCATCAAAAGTTTTCCTGAACCTTGGCCTAGTAAACTCTTACCGCCGTTTCATCCCCAATTGCACAAAGATAATGCAGCCTCTAACTGACTTGCTTCGTGGCAGTTAACGTACTTTCGTTTTCACTGATGCTGCTCGATCATCTTTCGCAGAACTTAAAAAAGCCGTTGCAAATACCTCTCTTTTGACACATTCACAACTAGATGCTTCTATTTCTCTGGTAACACGCTTCGAGCGAAGTGGTAGGAGCAGTCTTTCAGTGGTTCATCGATGAGTCTTGGCAACCATCAGGTTTCTTTTCGAGACGGTTGCAACCAGACAAAACTTTACTGCACGTTTGGGAGAGAACACCTCGCAGTTTATTTAGCCATTCGCTGCTTTCGATCTTCACTTGAAGGTAGAGACTTCGTAATTTTCACCGATCCCAAACTTTTAGTTTACGCAATAGCCTTATCCTCTGATAAATACTCTCCTAAAGAGATCCGCAATCTAGACTATATCTCAGTTCATGTCAGAGATACGGTACGTTTCACTTGTGCAAAACTTTGTCGCAGATGCCTTGTCCTGCGTCAATTCAATTACACCTGGTCACAGCATCGTTCTAGCAGTAATGGCCGCTGCACAACACACCGATCTGGGGGTTGATCAACTCCAAACGTCCACCTCCCTCCGCATCCGACCAGCTCCGTTACCAAGTTCCGAAGGAACTATTCTTTGCGATGTCTCGCAAAGTTATCCGCGTCCTGTAGTCCCACATACTTTTCCCCGTACCGTGTTCGACACACTCCGTAATTTATCACATCCAGATATTCGCGCCTCGATAAAGCTCGTTACGCAGCGTTTCTTGTGGCGCAACGTCAACCGAGACGTTACTCATTGGGCCCGCACATATCTTCGCTGCTAACAATCGAAAGTTCGATGCCATGTAGCCTCACTTATTGATCGTTTCCCGACAGTCAGCTCTCGACTTGCCCACATCCACATAGATATCGTCGGTCCCCTTCCACCCTCTAACGGCATGGGCTACCTGTTGACAATCATCGACCGTTTTACCAGGTTATAGCCCGATGATCGTGCGCTATATATCCGGTACGAGACTAGACGGCCAGCCAAAGGCAATGGACAAAACACACAAAAATTAAGCTAAGGAAAAACTTTATTGAACAGGAGGAGAGTTAGATAATGCTAACAATAGGGCACCAGAATAGAACTAGCTGAGGAGGATTTAGTTGCGTGTCGAGTGCGTGGACCGATCGTAGTTCGCAGTCGAGTCGCGCGCGCCAAAGGCGGATATCCTTCCGACAGACAAACCGCCTAATTCCCTAATACATAAGAAAGCTATAACTTTAATACATTTTAGAATAGTTTACACAGTCATACGGGAGAATCTCCAAGTCACTACAAGGTGGCCAGAAGCAGTTCCGCTACCAAACGTTAGCACGGAGGAGATCGTTCGAGCTTTCATGAGTCGCTGGGTCTCCCTATACGGTTGTCCAGCAACCGTAACGACAGACAGGACCACAGTTCTGGAGTGCACAATTTCGGAAGACGCTATGATTTTTAGGCTGTAAGCATTCTCCTACTACCTCCTAACATCCACAATCGAATGACATAGTGGAGCGTTTCCATCGTCAACTAAAAGTCAGTCTCACTGCAGTCGACCCTCTGCAATGGACAGAGATTTTGCCTACTGTCATGTTAAGCATAAGTGCTGGCCTCAAGGTCGACCTGCAGGTATCTAGCGCCGAACTACTTTTCGGTCAACCATTTCGTCTATCTGGAGACTATTTTTCTACAGCTTCAGATGCCATCGTCTATGACGCTTCTTTTGCAAAGCAACTCGCGTCACTCATGCGTCGTTTTGCACCTACTCATTCCCCTGTCCAGAGCTATAAAACCTTTACCGCCGGAGCTTCAAATTTGTATGCACGTATTCATACGAGTCGACGGAGTCAAGCGATCCCTGGCTCCGCCATATGAAGGGCCATTTAGTCCTACAACGGAACGATAAAGTATATGTCATCGATCGCCGCGGAAAGCATGAATCTGTATCTATTATTCGCTTAAAAGTTGCCTATATGGACAACGACAATACCTCTATAAATACGCCTGTTTCACTGCCGGCAACGCATAGCCCTAGCAGTCCAGCGACTTCCGCTGTCAATCCGCCAGTGCACCAAGAATGACTTGGTCTGGCCGACAAGTACATTGCTCTCATCGTGTTGCTCATACAATGCAATTTTCTGCTTAGATCCCCTTTGCCATTCTTGAAAATAACAAAAAATGGCAAAATGTTTTAAAACAGCTACCAAAAACAATTAAAAGGTTTTTAAAAACAAACCCAAAAGGTATGTTCTGGTTATTTCAGTTTAGCACTTGTTATTGCTATCCGCTATTGTCACTGCTGTTTTCCGTTTGCTTTCCATGAACGCCTGTCAACTCGGTGGCCCGTTCACGTTGGAGCCGGACGCTTCAACTCGTACATTGAACATTTCCCGTCGAACTGCTACCCCTTACGAACCGTATTTTCAAACATTTTTCCGTTTCGACACCGTTAGGGAGGACATGGATAGAAGCCCGGTAGGATCCGATCGCCTGGTTCTACATCAGCATCTGCATCAGATTTCACCACCTGGGCTCGATAAAACTCGTTACGCAGCGTTTCGTGTGGCGCAACGTCAACGGAGACCTTACTCGTTGGGCCCGCACATATCTTCGCTGCTAACAACCGAAAGTTCAGTGCCATGTAGCCTCACTTATTGGTCGTTTTCCGAAAGTTCTCGACTTGCCCGCATCCAGATGGATATCGTCGGTCCCCTTCCACCCTCAAACGGCATAGGCTATCTGTTGACAATCATCGACCCGACACCCACGCGAAATACACACGGCGCCACAGTTGGATTCAATACGCTCACACCCTTCGCTAGCTAGCTGTTTCGTTCGGTGTCGTATTTTTAGCTAATACACGGGAGCAGCATGTACCACAATACATCTTCATCCCGTCACTTTCTTGCCTTTCTTTCTATCACTGGGAACGGTACTCGCCAGCAGCCTGTTAGCGTGAGTTGGCCACTCTCGCTACAAAGGCCTCCATCTAGTGGGTTTTCAGATGGTCATCCGGAAGTTATTTTCCGCGCTATCAGAACCAATCCTGATGGCGCACGACCCAGGGATGGTCATGCCGACTTCCTTGAGGTAGCACTTAACAACATGCTTAGCCTAAGGAACAAGGTGCACGAGTTGGGTCTGCTTCTAGACAAATCGCGTGCCGACATACTTGCTTTCGCTGAAACGTGGTTGTCTCCGGATATCACGGACAGTGAGGTATCTTTACCTATCTACGCACTGCTTAGAACTGCTCGCTCCGTTGCTCGTCAATGCGGAGGCGTTGTACTGTATGTCAACTGTAACTTAGATGTGTTAAGGACCTGCACATCCCAGTCGTCGGATCAGACTGTTGAAGCCCTATCGGCTGTTTTGTGCACTTCCTCTACCCAGTTCACAGTTGTAGTGATATACAGGAGTCCAGGAAGTTCATCCAGGAGGATACGTGACCTTATTCACACTCAGTCCGCGAATAAGTGTTTAGATCTAGGGGATTTCAACCTCCCAAAGCCTGTTAGGCCGATCTTTCTTACACTTCGGTGTCAAGAACATTCGGTGTAGACTTTCTTGAGCTGTCTCTCCAAGTGCCTTTGCACCAGATCATGGATTTCCCCACAAGGTATATGGACAAGCAAATACCATCTACTTTAGATTTGGTTTTCGCTAAGTCCCTGGACTTCGTGACTGACGTTTCGTACGGTACACCTCTAGGGTCCTTTCGGTGTGCTCTTTCAAGGCACCAACAGACCGCCGTTGAATTACTTCCGAATATTTGGCGGCTGGACTTTAGTACAATGTGAGCTGAGGCTTCAATTCTGAAGTGTGAGATTTCTTTGGCCGACTCTGTCCAGTTAGCCTGGGATAAATTTAAAGCATACCTTACGGAGGTTTTCACTCTCTATATTTCACTCATGAGGAAAAAAGGGTTACGGGCACAGTCTCCTTGGATAGATACCACAGGCAAGTACCTGCTCAAGCAACGGTCCAGATGCTGGCGAACCTACTAAGCAGCTCCATCAGCCAGTACCCATGATAGAGTAGAAATAAATGTAAGCAACATCTCAGAACTGTTCGTCTCCAGTACGAGCGGGGTTTAGCGGACTCCGCCGCGGATAATCCCAAAGAGTTTTGGTTTACGTTGAAAGAAGCAGCGGAACAAAACTGTCTATACCAGCGTTATTGCGAGCAGACGGGAGCCGTGCGCAAACTGACTATGACAAGGCTTGTATATTTAGGGATCAATATACTGGTCTTTGCTCGGGAGAGCTCTTTACCACAGGTTGAATTGGTTTCAAATTTCCAGAGGATTTTTGCTCAGCTGAGTTTAACATAACTGAGACTCAGGTCTACGAGCTACTGTAAGGCATTAATCCCTCTATAGCTTCCGGTCCTGATTCAATTCATCCGAAGCTGTTGCATGAATTGGCCACAGCTGAGTGGTCCTCTCACATGTGTGTTTTCAGTATCGCTTGACAGCTGCACCCTACCTTCGGAATGGAAGGTGGCAATCATCTGTCCGATTTTTAAGGGCGGTGACAGCGCTCTGCCCGCGAACTACCGGCCTGACAGTTTGACAAGCGTAGTAGTCAAGTTGTTTGAAACGCTGATAAGGGATTCAGTGGAGAACCACCTGAATAGATTCAACCTTCTCAGTGATGCGCAACATGGACTCCGCAAGGGATTTTGTGTCAGACCAATCTACTTGTAGCTCGTGAAAGCTGGGCCGAAGCGGTCGACAGTAGCCACGCTGTAGACGTGCTATTCATGGACTTCTCGAAAGCTTTTGACATTGTTCCTCATATTCGACTCACTAAAGTTGAGATCTTACGGGATATCTGGTCGCGCGCTTAAATGGGTGAGGGGAGGGAACAGTGCGTACGGGTGTGGCGTAGCCTTTCGCTCAGGCAAGCTGTCCTTAGTGGCGTTCCGCAGGGCTCGGTATTGGGACCATTGTTGTTCGCCACCTATGTAAATGACTTGCCTGGGAGCTAGGAGTATCATCACTAATGTTTGCTGACGACCTTAAGCTCTAGAATGTTGTAGGTATCCCGGGGGTCCTGAGGCAATTCAGGGTGCCTTGGATAGGCTCTGAGAATGGTTGATGCCCATAAATAGGGTCAAATGCTCTGTTCTCCGAATCGGAGCTGCTAATCCTGCCACCCGAAACGTTGTCGGCCGTGGTGAAATTCTTGTTGTCACTCAGCAGGTTGATTTAAAGGTCTACACTCAACAGCACTTCATTCTGGTGACATTTGGAAGAAGGCTGGTTGTTGGGGTTTCGTATGATGTGGTTTATTTGCCGCTCTTTCGGAGTCCTAACGGTCAGTTTGTTTGTGAAGCTATTCTTGGCATTCGTCCGACCCCACTTGGAATATTGTATCCAGGCTTGTCCACCATATCTTACCTGAGACAAAATGGACTTGGTGATGGTGTTACCAATTGTCACTCGGTTAGTGCAGGGTCTACGGGGACAGACGCATCCTGAACGCATGCGTAGGTTGGGCATGTAATTCACGCACTACCGAAGGATAAGAGCCAGTTGAGATGGCTCGGTCACGTCCTACGCATGGCACCTGAGCGTCTACCGCGTCGCGCTCTGTTCGCTCGTCAAGGACCTGGCTGGAGGCGACCGCGTGGTGGTCAGCACATGAAATCGCTGACGTCGTGTCTAGCCGCTGTAGGATCCGTACGTCTTCCAGGATGGGGACCCAAAGATGAGGAGTGCCAATGGCTTCGCACTCTTGAAGATATGGCCCGCAACCGGAATCAGTGGAAGAATTGTGTACATTATTGTATTGATTCACATGTTTAATTCTACAAACATTAAAATGACAAAAAAGAACAAAAGCGGTGTGTGAAAAACAAACTAAAAATGTTTTGTTCTGCTTTTTATCAAAATGTTCCATTCTTCCTGCGGCATATTAGTTGAAGTGTGTTGCTCACCTTCAACTAGCATGCCACGATGATTATGACGCCATGAATCTTGCTTATCTCCATGGTTTTAGACTGGCTCTTTGTCTAGCTAATAGACTGCTGAGAATGGTTGGTTGGTTGGTTGGAAGGATAAGAGGGGACCTGATTCTCACTTATCGTATTTTGACGGGTAAGATCGGCCCGAACTTTTCAGGGCTATTTAGTCCCGCTACGTTACCTAATCTCCGCGGTCACCTTCTGAAACTGCATAAGCCACGGTCTGATAGGATTAGGACGGAAACTCGTCTATCGCGCCGAGCTATAGATCGCTGGAATTCGCTCCCAGCTCATGTGGTTAGGGAACCTACGGTTAAGGATTTTGCGCGCCAGCTCGGTGCTCTTGGGTGGCAAAACCAAACCTTTCCTTTTTCCTAACTGACTCAGCTTCACCTTTCAACTCTTTTTTTAATGACTCAAATAACTTGGTATTCCACTTGCTTAGCTCTTTCCACTTTCTCTTCCTGCCTTCTGAGTTTACTTTTTCTCTTTCTTACTTCACGTAACCTCCCCAGCAGGGACTGCTAGGGTAGGATATGTGGGCATTAATTGGTTGCACAGGGGGTGATACGGTCTTTGTTTTAGGTCCATCAGTAATTCAAAGTCTGTCAACTCCTGGTTGAACGACCAGCTGAAGAAAGAACGCTCACAGGATAATCCTATCGTTCCAGTCCCACTTGAACTTGAGCTCCGACCTTGTCGAGTGAATGGCGAAACCGACCTCCACATTGTGCATTTTTGCCTAGTGCAGAAAGTCCGAGAGCTCGATGGAGGCCAATCTTTCTTCTCCCCGGACCCCAAGCGTAAATTCTGGACTACATGTGATACTTGCGAACGTGTGCAGTCTCAGAAACAAGCTAGATCAGATTCAACTCCTTATTTCAGAGCAACGACCGGATCTACTGGCGTTCACAGAGTCTTGGCTGTCTTCAGCGATGTCGAGCTCGGAGGCTCAACTTCCAGGCTATCAGCTCTATCGATCTGATCGCTCCAGTCGGCGCTCTGGAGGTGGAATAATCCTCTATTCCAAATCCTATCTCAAAGTCAACATTCTTAAAACGGACTGCGACAACGATGATGCGTTAGAAGTATTCTGGTGTCGAGTTCACTATGGCTTCCAGTCACTGTCGATCGATGTGGTCTACAGACCCCCATCAACATCTGGCTACTGCTGCACTCAGTGACGAATAATGCGAATGGAACGAACTGTCTGCTTATAGGGGATTTCATTGCCCCCGGCATCAACTGGGACCTTCTTCATAGTGATCTCCCCACGAAGTCCTTTGAAGCTCTTCCACACCAACCACACGCAGCACGTCCTGACACCAACACGGATGCTCTCAGGCCAAACACCTCACATTCTAGACTTGGTGCTTACTCCGGCCCCATCTGACGTCTCCGATCTAACGATCCTCCATTCGCTGGTCAAGAGTGACCACTCTGTCATCTTCCAGTAGACACGATGCCTTACACATCATGGCCAGTGGTCACGTCGTCGCAACTTCTGGCGAGCCGACCAGTCCAGACTTAAAGCAGCGGCAAGCACCCTGGATTGGAATATTCCGCAGTCTTTGGATCTCCACGGTGCATGGCAGCTACTACAATCCCAGATGATGCTGCTCATCGAACAACACGTTCCAAACGGAAAAGCCAAGCCTTACCCCAAAGGCTCCCTTGAATTGATAGATAAATCAGATCCTTAATGAAAAAACGACGGGAACTGTGGGATCACTACAAGACAACCCAACTAGCATCGGACTACTCAGATTATAAGGCTGTAATGAACCTTTGCACACTGAAAAAGCGCAACAAGCGACTCCAGTACGAACACAGCCTGGCCACGGTACCTCTAACTTGTCCCAAGAAACTATTCTCATACCTGAAAAGAAATGTAAGAACGGGTATTGGGATCCCCACTCTACTCTTCGAG